TATATATATAATTATATATATATATATATATGAGTGTATATATATATATATATATATATATAATTGTGTATACCTCTGAGGGCAAATGCACTATGCATGTGTCTGAAATTTGTCTATGTATTATGCAAAAGTCAGTAGAGTAAAAAATATACAGATTTCATACATGCATTATCAATAATTAGTGCCCTACAAGATGCATTGTATATAAATTCTACACCTGTCCAATAGTTGATGAAACATTTAGAATTTCTACCACATGTATTCTGAAAAATATTCAGATTAAAAAAATGTCTCTGCCATTTACTACTTGGTTTGCATCTATGATGGCTGAGGTCATCCATCTCTAAAACACATAATGGAGAGGGTCTATTTGTGGTCTATTTGAAATATTTTCTCTTTAGGTAGAAACACTTCATCCTCTTGTGGGGTGTGGAAAATTGGGGAGAAAAAAGGGGATTCATTTTACTCTTTCTCACTTCCTGTTTATACATTCTGGAGATTGCTAATGTTTGAGAACACTGGCCTAGATCACAAGGACACCTCTGCTTTTCTTGCATAGAATTTAATTTAATGTATGTGTCTGAACTTTGTCTATGTATTATGCCAAAGTCATTGTTTTTGTTTTTATTTCTAAATAATTGCTGCCACAAAAAAGTCACTATAACAGTAAAATAACATTTTTTTAATCTAAAAACTCAGGATCTGGGCTATTTTTCTCTCTTTTCTGGTCTACTTTTGGAATCCATGACTGGTTTGTATCCAGCATTTTTTGTAGCCCTCACTCTTCACTTATTATATCTGGAATCTTCAGAATGTGGTTCTGTAGTTTGGTGATTAAATAATTTGTGAAGCATTGAAATAATCTTGGATCCTCTTCACCCCCAGAAATTCTGAATTAGTCAGTGATAGCCAAAAAAACACTACTCTATAATATGCACTATGTGTTTCAAATATGTAAACAGATTTTAAATATACTTTTGTAGAAATAGGGATACAGATTCTAATTGCATTTTGGGAGTAGAAATAGGGATACAGATTCCAATTGCATTTTGGGAAAGAAGTATTGTTAAAAGAAAAAGAAAACCCTTAAACAAACTGCAAATATTTTAAGCTATGAAGAAAAATTTTAAAAAGTGATTATGGTCAAGTATAGATAAATGATGCTCAAATGCCAAAAATAATATAATTTAAGCACAAGTGGAGGACATTGTAATTTCTGAGATTCTTTATGTCCTATTAGAAACTGTCAGAGTGGGCCTGGGGGACACTATATTAAGCAAAATCTATCTGGGACAAAGGACTATGAAATTTGGAGATAATTTAGACAAGTATTAGCTATTTGGGAAAAAAACTCAGTAAGGACAATGTGTAAGGTTAGAAGTAGCTTTCTTGCTCTAGGCAGAGTGTAGAGTTAGGTCTGCACAGGGGGAGAGGAAGTTCAGGATATAACCTGTGTCACAGGACTGTGCCCCAGGAGTTATCGTGTGTTTATTTCATCACATGATATACACAGGGGCTGTGAATAAAAGCTGGTATGTGATTATTCCTTGACAACTTTATCTTCTCAAGTTTCTCTTGCTGAAAAATGAGTTCTAGGAGAGCAGTCACACATCACTTTGTTGTTAATCACTGCATCTCCAATGTATGTTACTGTAGCTGTTGAATAACAGTAGGTTCTCAGCTATTTTATACTGGTGTTGTTCTGGTGCAAGACATTCTCTGTCTACAAGCAGAAACACATTACTTGGGTGTCTAGTGGTTGTTAAGGGGAAGGTGCTAACCTCCTGTTCATTTTACAATGTGGTTTGATGTTTAGGGAAGGCTATATAGACATGTAGGGCCATTTGGTTTTTATGCTACAAGAAGGGTCTTGAATGCAGAATGGTTGGACTATCATTACAAGTTTAATGGTTAATCACTACCTTTGGGCTTGGCATACTGTCACAATCTTTCTTCATTCACCTGTGACTGGAGACAGCTATAGACAATTCCTAAATGGAAACTATCTGTGGCTACCTGTTCTAAATTTCAAACAGAAGGCAGCAAATCTTAAAAGGGTTAGATTTTTCTTCAAAAACACATAAAAATCTTCTGTAGTGCCCTTTTAAAAATATTTTTAGTTGTAGATGGAAACAACATTTTTATTTATAATTATGTGGTTCTGAGAAACAAACCCAGGATCAAACCCATCCTAGCTTACTGCTCTATCACTGAGCCACAACCTCAGTGCCCACCCCCCACCCCCAGTCTTTTTAACCATTTTATTTTAGAAAAACACTTCAACAATTGTTTTTCTAACTTTAGAAAACATGGAATGATCTGGCCAAGTTTCTATTAGATCCATCATATATATATATTGCCCAGACTAATTAGAGTGGTCAAGCATGGAGAACATAAGCCCTTCTCAAGAGCTAATGTCTGTTTCTAGGTGACAATTTCCCTCAGTTCTTCAGGGAATTGCAATTTATCACACCTCAGATAGCTCTGCAGTGTTTTAAGCACCAAAAAAATATATCATCTTGATTTATACTGCTCCCTTCTCAAAAACACTAACTGATTCACATGAAGTTTTTTTTTAAAAAGGCTTTCATGGAATTACAAATGATTTTTTTTATTTTCTTTCATTTGTTCAAATTAGTTACACATGACAGTAGAACACATTTTGATGCATTATACATAAATGGAGTATAACTTCTCCTTCTTCTGGAAATGATTCATTTCTGAAGAAATAGGAATTTAACAATTTTGAATGAAAATTTACTTCAAAATACACATCATGTGCCATATGAATATACTTTCGTTGATGTTAAACTGGGTCACTTACTGTAGAAATGTTAGGGTTAGTACTCAATATTCACTGAAGTTCATTTTGAGTATTCAGAAATGAATATGTATGTCAAGAACATGAATATTTCTGAGAAATATCTTGTGAAAAGTTGATTATAAATCCACCCAGATAAACATGAAAGAATCAAGGTAGTATAAGTATATGACACATATAGTTCATGTTTGCAAATCTATACTATATATTTAATATATTAAAATGTAATAGTACGTATGCCAATCGAAATTCATATGGGGATATATATCCTTCACACATGTACCCAAAATATTCACTTTCCTCTACATTGTTTCATGGATAAACTTGTTGAAGTATTAGCACACCACAGCTTGAATTTTCAGTTACCTCAGTGTACTGGGGGGCAGTGATCTCTTCATGAAATTTGTATTTTCCAAAATCAGAGTACTCTCAAGAATATACCTGTGATGGCAGTAGGATTATATATGTGTACATAAAAATATACATCGTGACCCAGGCGACAGAGACAGGGAGTCAGGAAGTTACATATTTGTTAATTTTGAAAATTCATGGAGAAATAAAAGGAGAAAAATGTGTGACAGGTTTCATAATATGTATCTCTGATGCAGCAAAAGGCAAGTCCAAGTATACACCATGCCTCCTATCAAATGCCTCTACTTCTATTCCTTTAGATTATTTTTATCAATGTTACGATAAGTAGTCAGAGTCTAGTAGGTTATGGGTTAGGGTCAGAGATTCAATATTTCAAATGGCAAAACGGAAAATGAGTCTAATATATATGTGAACACGTGCCACATAACAATCTTCCAGTGTCATCCACCACAATGCCTTGACATTACTATCACCCCAAATATGCACCTGTAGCAAATACTGCTCTGCTTCTCAAATTTGAGACCCACTGCTTGCCAGGGCTAGATTGTTTATCTGTACTGGAGTCTTGAAAAAACCCAACCACCTCTATGTTAGTTATTACAGGGCTTGCAACAACTCATTTGATCCAAGAGATTCCTGTTGTTTCTTCATAGGGATCAGGAGTCTGACCAGAGGAAGGCAAGAGACTTTATAAAAATTATTCTTCTTTTTTATCCTTTTAGTTTTGGATGGACATATGGAATGTTTATTTAGTTTCCTGGAGTTCTCAGAATCTAATCCACAGCCTAGCACAGGGCCAAGATTCTGATTCAGACACATCTTTTACAAAGCACTTTACCTTAAAAGGCACAGATTAGGCCTCTTCATTTCCATTTGAAATTGTTTCCTTGAGATTTCACAAAAGGGTGGCCTAAGGCAAAGACTTTCCTGAAATTCAGGGGAACAGAGCAATAGGTAAGAAAAAAGCCTGGGGTTGACTTTTCCACATGATCAACACTGTCCCACTGACAGCTACTGGTAATGCCACTTGGTTTTCTATCTATGGAAGCAGGGATTCTCCAGAGAGAGCCTTACTGGTCACACAAATTTCTGATTTTTCTGAGATTTTTGGCATTCCCTTCAGCAATCCAGTCCATGGCCATGTCACAGAGGTTGAAGGTGGTACATATTTTGGACACAAATCCACGAGCCCCTTCAGAGAGTGGTCGAAATTCAGGAAGAATACAGGAACTTAGGAACATGGTAGGTGTTGCCCATCTGCAAGGCAAGCAACAGTCCATTCATAAATTGCCCACAAGGAGTGCTGGAAAGCATTCCAGTAGACAGGACACATTCTTTGATGCATTCTTCTCTCTACTGTCTTTAATCACAAATCTAGTGGGATCCATTGACATAAAAACATTCACCAATAGCAAAAGGACTCACAAGTACAGTCCATTTCAAACCTAAGAAACCATTTTCCCTCCAAGTTCTATGAACATGAGACATAACTACAAATTAAAACACACATACACTAGGACACACAAACTCCCTCTGGAGTTGGTCTCTGTCTATCCAAAGTGTCCTCTGTCTGTTGGGTGAAACTATATTCCCCACAAGTGCCTGTCCTTTCTCAGATCTGTTCTCCTTGATCATCTCTGTGTAGCTGTCAGGAGCCAGCAATGAGCCAATACCTTTTTTTCTCAGGAAACGCCCCTCTTCAGACCTTTCCAGGCATTTGGCTATCCACACATCACAAAGTGCCAAGTAAGAATGACTCTGGTGTCATTTACTAGTCTGATATTTCCACCAAGGAAATCTTCTGCAGTGATGGAAATGTTCTCTCTATACTGTCCAGTGTGGCAGCCACCAGCCTCAGATGGCTATTGAGCACTTGCAATGTAGACAGTACCACTGATTTATTCCTATTTAAATTTGATGGCCATGTAGAGTTAGTGACCACCGTACTGGACAGCTTAGATCTGGATGCAGGCCAGTGAAGGCAGGATCTTTGCCCCTAACTGTTCCTTGTATCTCCAGCACACAATAGGTCTTGGTCCACTGTGTACACTATAGAGGATTCACCTGAACATGACCCACATCT